ACAACCAGGTCCTGTTCAGTTTATCTACAAGTTAGATCTTCAATACATCCACATTTCTCCAATCCCCTTGCTGCCACCTAACTGAAGCCACCACTATTCCTGGCCCAGACTATTGCTCTAGCCTTCTAACTGGTCTGCAGGATTTGCCTATTGCTCCCTTCCAAGCCATTCAGTACAATGGAACCAGAGTAATCCTTAAATATCTTTTAAAAAAAAAATCATCACTGCCCTGCTTAAAACCCTTTGATGGCTTTCTTTTGCACTTAGAATTAGGTAAGTCCTTACATTTATGACACTCTGAACTATCTAGCCTGTCCAGGAGTTGGGCTCTGTCTGCCCTTTCAGAGTGTCTTGTTTCTCTCTCCTTCAATCACTGTACTCTTGCCATGTTGACTTCCTTAGATTTCAATAACCTCTTTCCCCCTTCAAAACCTTCAGATATTTGGCCAGTGACATGCTGAGGGCTGGGGGTGGAGGAGCAGTCAGCCTGGACAGGTGGGCGTATTTGATCGATGACATTGGAAGTGTTAGAGCATGTGCATGGTGAATCAAAAGCATGCTGTCTTTTACTTGGTTTTATTATTATTTTTTAGTTCTATTTAAACCATATACCCCCTTTATTGCCTGCATCCTATGCTGACCACTCCCTCTCCCCTTCCTTTGTACATGGCTGCATCATGCATCTCTGTGTGAATATCTAATTCCCTCACTTTCCATTTTGACAACTTCTACTCATCTCTTGGGAAGTTCAAATACAACTTCCTCAGGAAAACCTTCCATGACTCCCAATTTTAACTTTGGTTTCTCACTTATAATACTGTATTTTCTTAAGGTAGAACCCATGACAAACTGTAATTATATATTAATTTGGGTATTATACTTGAATGTGAATGTCATCAGGGCAGGCACGATGACTTTCATATTTCACATTCACAGTTATAACCCCAGGAGCCAGAGAAGTCCCTGGCACATAGTAGGTGTTCAATACCTGTTTGTTAAATGGATAAATGAATCAATGGTCTGTGGAAATGGAGGTCAAGGTCAGGTCAGGCATGCATTGTTGTAGAAGACAAGAAGAGACAGCGCCCTGAAGAAGGCATAGACAATTCTTTTGCGAATTCTCTTTACTTAGAGAATGAGAGAGAGAGGTGTTTTCAGGAGGCAGAAATGGGAATGAAAGAATTGCATCATTTTTAAGATGTTATTTTAAGACTCACACAGGGCTAACTGCTAAGGAAAAGGGCCCAGCAAAGAAGCACCGGGGGTGTGCACTGGAATCACCTAGAAGTTTGTTAAAACACAGATTGCTGGGCTGCACTTCTAGAATTTCTGATATGATGGTCTAGGGTGTGACTGCTACTTGCATTTCTAGCCAGCTCCCAGGGAATTCCAACGCTGCTGGAACGGGGACCACACACTGAGAACCATTGAGATACAGGTTAGAGAAGGTTGGATGGGGTGCTCCAGAGTCCAGGTGGGGAGACTTGGCCTACATAGGAGGAGGAACATCATCCTCGTGCATAAAAGGAAGGAAATAAGGATGGGCACAGACGCAGGTAGGCTTAAAGACGAGGGAGCAGGAAGTTGCCAAACTGCCTGTCTGATGGATCTTTTTGCCATTATGAGGTAGGAATTGAGGTCACCTACTGAGAATCAGAAAGGAGACTGGAAGGTAGGGTTAGAAGTTAAAGGAGAATAGAGAGGTTGGCAGGGTCGTCGTGGGGTGTGAGAGCTGCATGATAGAAACACATAGCATTGCTGATTCATGTTGAGGGCTCAGGAGAGAGCAGCCATACCTTTATTGTATCAATCTGCTTGTTTTTCTTTCTTGCAGGGGGAGGGAGTGGGCCGGCGGTGACAGAGTCTTGCTCTGTCACCAGGCTGTAGTGCGGTGGCGTAACCTTGGCTCACTGCAACCTCCACCTCCTGGGTTCAAGCGATTCTTCTGCCTTAGCCTCCTAAGTAGCTGGGATTACAGGTGCCCACCACCACACTCAGCTAATTTTTGTATTTTTAGTAGAGATGGGATTTCACCATGTTTGCCATGCTGGTCTCAAACTCCTGACCTCAAGTGATCTGCCCACCTGGGCCTCCCAAAGTGCTGGGATTACAGGTGTGAGTCACTGTGCCCAGCCTAAATTTGCTTTATTATAGAATTATATAAAAATAAGGTTCAAGGGCAACCATATCATTTCACAGGTTGGTATTGTAAAAACATCTCAAATTAACTAAGTGTGGTTCTGCAGCTGTGTAAGGCACACAACCAAGAAAGACCTAGAATGGCCCATAATTGCCACTAAACAAACCCAGAGAGATTCCTGTATGTCATCCTTATTGCTGAAGATGTTTTATTACATCCTTCACTGCTAGTATATTTGTGTATGTGTTTATGAATACTACATTTAAATTTTGCTCATTTACAATCAACTTTTTTTTTTTTAAAAAGGTAGCATCATTTTACACTGAGATATTTTTAAAAAACTCCCACATAAGAAGGATGAGATACAGTAGTACAGACCTTTATTCCCCTCACTCTTCTCTGTCCTATCCACTTGTTGACCCCATGGAAAGAGCCATTGGCTTGCTCAGGTTTCAATCTCTGACATGTCATTTTGAGTTATATTGGCTGCCGGGAGCCAAAAGTAACGAGAAAGGAAGAAAACTGGCACTGAACAAATAAACATGCTCTCTGCTGGTTGTGGTAAAGGTCAGGAGAGCTGGAATCTGGCAGGCTGTCAAGCAGAGGAAGCTTCTGAGCTGTAGGAGGCTGAACAAATAGATAGTCTGGGGAATGAAAAGCCCAGAGCATCACTGAACCCAGGCTTCCACTGGGAAACTATCATTGGCTATAAGCGACAGAGGATGGTGGCGGGATTCTTTTCAGAACCTTAAGGAGAATGTTGTAGTATTTTTTTTTTTTTAAGTCCCTAGTATTAGAGCCAAGTGAAGTATGTGTTAACTTTATTAGTATTGATTTATTTATTTGGTTTTAACAATGACCTCTATTGGGGATGGAAAAGGAAAGAGAAAACATGATGCAAACAAAATGACAATAATAAAAATAACATGACATCTGGTTCAGGAATCCAAGGAGTGTAGGGATTACATGCATACACACCTACATGCATACATTTAGATTCAGATAGAGAAGGCTGGTGATCTGACAGTTATAAAATAACGAAATGCTTTCATGCTGGTTGGTGAATAGCCACTGTTCTCTGCTTCTCTATTACACCACTGCTGCCCCAGCCTTCCCTGTACCCTACTCCTGCATTCCAGCAGCTAAGGGGTTAATATCAGCAGAGGGCCTCTGGAATTCCCAACCCCACACTAAGGTCTCCACTATTGATTGACCAATAGCCCATACCATATTGGCTGTTAAATGTATTGATATTATCCCTGTATATAGATGTATATTGCATATAATTATCTCCATATTATTAATTGCTTGATGATGAATTATCTGCACCAGGGTCACCTGGGGCACTTCTCAAAAATGCAGATGTTTGGGTTTTACATACTGCTCCCACTGCATCTCTGGAAGATGGGCCAGGATATGCATTTAAACTATCTCCCAGGTGATTCTAGGGCATTGTCTCAAATACAGTCTGCATTTTCTGGCATACAGCAAACCTGTCTGTCCTGTCTTCTCTCTAGATGCCAAGTTCCTTAAAGGGAAGATCTTAAGTCCTAAAACTCTTGGCATTCACCACTATGCCTAGCTTAGGGCTTGTTGACTGACAACAGAGAGGAGAAATTGTGGATTCAGAAGTGTATGCTGAAAAGATAAATTGGGTTTGATGCTGCTGCTGCTATTGTTGCTGCTGCTGCTGGCCACAATGGTTAGCCCTTGTGGGTGCTTACTCTGTGCCAGACATTATGAAAAGTGTCTTGAATGCTTCATCTAATTGAATTGCACAATAATCCTAATAGGTACTGCTATTATCTACATTTTATGGCTGAGGAAACTGAGACTCAGAAAGATGGAGAGAGCTTCCCAAAATTTCATTGTTGGGAAGAAGCAGGATTCCAATCTTGACCTGTCTGATTATTTCAAAGTTTATACTTTCTTATTTACTAAGCCATACTAGCTCTTGGATTAGAAAACAATTCTACAGATACTTTATAAATCAGATTATTTGGAGTTAATCTCTTCAATTTGCTTTTGCTTCAAATTTATTTGTTGCATTTTATGTATGCGGAGGGGAGGCAGGCATGGGAGATGAAGACTGTAAGAGCTGTACCCTCTGACTCACAGAAACCACGGGAAGGGAAATTGAATATAGAAAGTAGGAGGCATATATAAATATTCTCTAATACTTGAGAACAACTGGAAACTTTTCAGCTAAATAAAAATAAAATAAAATAATAAAGCACTAACGGAAAAAAAAGTTAGAACATTGCCACTGCCATTGACCTTTGAAAATCAAGATAAGAAAAGAAAAAAAAAATGAGGTTATATCCAGAAGGTAAATAGTAAGGAAAGGGAGTCAAGACAAGAATCCACTGTCAAGAAATAATGAGGGCAATTGCGATTTTAGAAAGATCATCAAGAGGCCAGCTGGTGCCTGGACTTGACAATGGACAAGACAAGCAGCCTGGATGTGGAGAAATTAAGGCAGCTCATAAGAGGTAGTGGATTGAAAGGCTAACTGGGTTTTATATGCAATCAGGTTTGTTTTGAAGTATCCAGCCAAGAAGCTGGGATCAATGAGATCGCAGAGTATTATAATTTAATTCGGGTTAAAACATCATTATGCACTGAGCTTAATGAAGAATGGCTAATTAACATCTCTTGAATGTATGGCAAAAAGAATATACATTAGAGTTGTCTTTTCAAGGCAAAAACAAAAACCCCATTCAAAATCTGAATTAATAGCATCAGGGTGCTTATTCAGACTTCAATATATCAATCCCAGTGCTTTTGTTTAGATACAGATAACTTTCTAATCCTCTTTGATTCATTCATGACATATAGAGAAGACAAAATTTATTCTTACTGGGATCAGGGCAAAATCCCCACTTTTCATCTCTTTCATAACGGCTTGTCGTGGCACACCACAATAAGTCATCTTCCCGACCTTCACGGGTACACTCATGATGCCACTGATGGTTATACTGGAAGGGAAACATACACGGCATCCCATGGGTGTTCCCTTTGATTGTGTGCAAATCTAGGAGAAAGAAATGTACAAAGTCAGACATGTATGATGTCAGCTTTACCTTTGGAAACTGCTATACATCAAAAGCATTTTTTATGGACTGAAACCCTCTTAGGGGCAGATACTCACTACAACAGAGTGAGCCCTCAGTTCCTCACTGTCTCCTGTCAGTAGAAGTGTGAGACCAAGAGCTGGGCTCAGAGGAAGTGCTGATACATGGTTTGCTTACGCATTTATCTACTTGTTTACTTACTATGGTGAGCTGCCATAGTAACATTCATACTTGTGGATGGATGAGAAGGAAACTTTAATGGAGATTTAACTTCATAATACCTTCCAGTCCCCAAATACATCAGCCATTAGCATCTAAGGCTCAATAGATTCATAGGCATTTATTAATTTACTCATTCAATAACTATTTATTGAGCATTTAGTGTACTCAGTACTGGGGATACAACAGTGAACAAACCAGCATAAGTTCCTTCATGTGGAACTTCTATTCTAGCAAGGAGAGAGAAAAAGAAAGCAAATATACAAGTAAACATACAGTATCATTGCAGGTAGTGAAAAGTGCCATGATGAAAAATAAATAGGATGAGAAGACAGAGTGGGGTGTGTGTGTGCGTGTGTGTGTGTATGTGTGTATGCATGAGACAGAGGGAGAGACAGAGAGAAAGAGAGAGAGGGAGAGACGGGATGGAGGAGCACAGGGCACTACTTTGGACAGGATGGGCAGTGAAAGGCCTCTCTGAATAGGAACTGGGTGACCCGAGAGTGCAGGTCTTTAGACAAGAGTTGATCCAGCAGAAGGAAGAGCAAGTAAAAAGAACCTGAGACAAGAACAGGTGTGGGAGAATGAAGAAGAGGAAGGAGGCCCTCTGGGAAGGGGAACCAGGGATGTACTGGAGTGCTAGCGCACACAGGGCTGTCTCCCTGCCATACTGTGGGCTTTGGCCTCTACTCTGAGGGTGGGGGCAAGTCTCTTGCGCATTTCAAATGGAAAAGTGACAGGTTCAGATTTCCATTTTTAAAGAATCACTGAGAGTGCAAGGGGGCAAACAGCCGACATGGGGAGAGGGTGAAACCAGACAGCTGACTGGGTGACTTCTACAATGACCTAGAGTGAGACGATCATGCAGACGTAGCCTGCTGGCTGCCTTCTCAGGGTTTTGCAATACTTGGTCATTCTTGGCCTTAATCAGGAATCAACAAAAACTTTTCACGACTCAACTGGGGTTGCCAGTGGTAGGTCCTGGGGCAAAAGGACCAGCTGTGGAGAGCCTCACCTCTTTCCCACAACTGGCAGGGGTGACCTGAGCTCACGACATGTCACCAGTCACCAGCCTTAGCAGTTAAGGCTACTTAGGAACCGTAGGTATTTCAGGACATGCCCTTTTCTTTCAGTCCCCTTCCTTCTACTCAGAAGCATATGTTCTCTAGAATCTTCTCCTGCATGCACCATGAATGTGGGTATGTGGCTAAAAAAGCTAACATAAAGCAAAATAGCAAGTTCCTCTTCAGGACTGTAGATTATTCAGAGTGCTGATTTGCAGCACTAGCTTTATTTTAGTGAGCCCTGAAAATGCCTGGTCCTTGGCTCTGTCTCTTTTTAATCATTTCTTCTTTAGGAGTTCCTTGCTCTGCTTCCCAGGACTGTACAGAATTCTTAGGAAGATATGCTCTTGTGAAAGCATAACTCTACAGAGCACCACAAGGGGAGGGACTCCGCTTGTCCTGTGGGCCTCTGTAAACCAGGTGCCTAGCCCAGTGCCTGATCAATATGGGGTGGATTTGTCAGCAGTGTTATATAAAAATGTGGGATGAATGGATGGATGGATGGATCGATAGATGGATGGTTGGATAGAGTGAGCTACCAAACAAACCCTGAGGGACAGGTTTGAGATTTTAGAATTTAACTATGTAACTTTCTTTATTTTTTTTTTCTGTTTAGAAATGACAAAGATAACCATAGAAAATGAAATTCCCCTCTAAACCATGCTTCCCCACTGACCATGCTTGGCACATACCAAATAACCCCTGACAACAGTCTGTCATTTATCTTCAAGTGACTTGCAACATGATTATCACATGAATGCCAGCCAGCATCAGGAGGCATTGGAGGTGCCCTGGATACATACCTCCATAGGTGGGGATGCGTTTTTACAATAAGAGAAATGGAGGCAGGGAAGGAGAAGTTATTATATTTGTCATGACAAAAGTCTTCAAATATCTTTTCCTTCCACCTTCCTTTTCTCTCTCTCTCCTGTCTGCTTGTTCTTTCTCCTCCTTTCCATTGATTCCCAGAGTCAGTTGAATGTTTTTCCTCCCAATACCTTTAAATTCTGAGAAGTTCTGCTTCTTTAGTAGAATGTAGTATGTCCATTCTGAGACTCTCATAACCCTTTTACCATAAGCAAGGAAGCAACTAAAATGTATTTAACAGAAGTCCCCTGAGGGTCCAGGCTTTGTGTACTTCTTTCACATAACGCTTTACAAATCTTTACTTATAGGCAAACTTTAAAAAAATACTATTCCCTGAGTGCTTCTTTAAATTATTTTTACCTTTGTGTAGATATTCACAAATGTCTCCACCACCTGACACATAAGAAATCCACTTATGAAAATACTTCCGTGAGGCCACCACTGTGTTGTCATGCGCCACCTGGACGGAGTACTGCAGCGGGCCGGTGATCATCTTCCTGTTACAGCGCCACCGCAAGGAAATGAGGGTGGAGTCACATTCGTATAAGCTTAAGGGCTGCTCTGGGGCAGAGAAATTCAGGCCCAGGCAACCGCTGCCTCCTATGTTAAAGAGGCCATGGTTTGAAACCCATTTCCACAGCATGTGCTTGTTTGCTTGCTTGCAGTTCTCCAGGGTCAGTACCGATTTACCTGCTTGAATGCATTTCTTCAGACTCTCACTTTGGATAATAAATAGCCCTTTATCTGAAACAAAAATCAAAGACCTGGCATGAAATTTTCATATATAATTTACTAGCATCATGAGGATCTCAGTGTGCATATCTAAGTGCGATATGCCACAGTTGCCGGTCATTTCCCACAGATCTGGCGTTGTTGGGCAGGGTCCATCTGAAGGGCTTTATTTCCATAAAACAAAGGAGTTTCTTTGGAAGCATAAAAGGGCTTATGGAGCTAATGGGAGAGCTCTGATCTAAGACCTCATTGGCCATATAGGAACAAGGGTTACCTGTCAATCCACTCAGGTCTGTTACTGACAGAGAAGGTGCGCTCACACAATTGGTTAGAGAGGGGGATTGGTAATAATACTCAGGGCTCCTGGGGAGGGACACTGGGGGCCCATGGATGGGACAACACTGTCTCAGACAAATGCCTGAATGTTAGGGACACAGCTGCTGAATCAAGAACCACTGAATGAAACTCTGTACCATCAAGTTCCTGTAGAAAACTGAAAGGCTATCAGTGAAATGCTGCTTTGTGGTCTGATGCAGGATTCAATGCTGGTGAGAACACAGGGCTTCTCAGCAGTACAGAGGTGGAGGCGGGGACCTCTTGCTATGGGGATAGACTCTTAGTAGGAGACGGCTTGCTGGGTGGGGCTGGCAGAAGCAGGTAGATGCCCAGGCCACTAGCTATGGCACCACACCTCGAAACACGAGAGGTGATGGACCACCATTACCGTGGCAGAAACCAGAGGCCACATGGACGGTTGGAGAAAGTAGGCATTTTGTGATATGCCCCTGAGCTCTCCTTCCTGGAGATGGAAGAAGGGATTTGGGTGAGTTTCCTATGGAAAAGCTGGTGGGACCCAGCCGGGGAATACATGTTAGCTGCCAGCCTGCTACCTGACTTAACCCAAGTTGCGGGCCTGGAAGGCACCTAGTACTCAACAGTTAGTATGAACTTGTTTTCTCTCAGGCTTTTTGAAGATGGAAACCAAGTCTCATTTCTTTGGTCTAAGCACGGAGTGTGTTGCGCACATGATGGAAATTCAGTCAGTGCTTGCTGTTGATGAAATACACCAGCTGCTGCTGCTTCGGCCTTTGGCTGCTGAAGTCACCTCGGTCATGTCTGGTCAGGCCCTGGCACTCTTTTCTTCTCCCAGTAGCTGGGTTCCCCTTTTCTATTTTACTTCCTGTCTATTTTTTCAAAACTCTGAAGGGACATGATAGGGTTCCCTCGAATGTCTGGGGTTTAGGGTGGGTCGTGTTATGGAGGGCAGAACAGGTATAGGCAGAGGCCTTGGAGAGGTTTGGGACAGTGCAGGACAGGTCTTCTCACAGATCCACGAGGGAACAATGCTTCATTCTGGTAAATGTTCTTTTGCTTTCTCCAAAGTTAATCAGCCTGAGGAGAACTGATTTACAGTTACCAAAATCACTTAAGATACTGTTTCAAAAAGATTGTCAATGTATTAATAAATGCTATACCTCATTTAATAATTGATGACCTTACTTATAGCCATAGATTTGAGGAGTTGAATTAGTTGTCATAGAATTGCTTTGATCACCGTACATCAGAGTAAAAGAGAGGGGGTGGGGTAGGGAAAATGAATGGTTTTAGGGAGATTTCATTTAGATCAGGAAATTTGTTTTCCTAATGAGGGCCTTGTCTGCATGGTTATTAGCAATAGTGATTCAAAATCAAATCCACCTCTCATCAGTGTGACATGGAGTCCGATAATTAACCTTCTGTCCAACTCTCCTTTTCACCTTTTCATGCCTGGGTAGAATGTTCACCTTAATTTTTGTTGTAACCTACTAATTACTTTCTAGTTAACCTAGAGTTCATTAATTTTTCATCAAAGGATAATTATTTTACTATAATGGTTTTGTAGTTCAGCTTCTACCTAATATATATGTTCAAATGTATTATAAGCTCTGCAACGTACTGACTGTGCCTCAGTTTATACACCTCAGATAGGTATATAGATGACCTGGCTAGTGGTTGAGAGCTCTGGAGTCACGTAGAACCATCACGGACCCGCTGTGTAACTTTGGGCAGATTGCTCCATCTCAGCGAGCCTCGTCTTTCCTCCTTGAACTGGGACTATGTATGGTACTCACCTCTTAGGGATGTTAAGGATATTCCATTGAATAACCCATGAAAAGCACACCACATACTACCATGAAAAGCCTTAGGAAATGGGAGCTATCATTATTACTTTATCCCTCTGACTTCCTGATTCTTGGTCTATAGATCCAGCTGCAGACCTGGTTGAACCTACAGAGTGCTAATCTCAGCATCCCTCAAAGGCTTCTTCTCTTACACTGTTAGCACAAAAGCTTATTTTTACTGCAGTTTCTGCAGCACACAGTGGGCGCAGACATTTTAGTTTTAAACAATGCTATCGCTTTTTTTTTAAACAATCGCTATCACCTTTTATGGAGGAAAAATACTCTCCAAACAACCAGATAACAAAATCTTTGTCTCATTTGTTCAAATATGTGTGCAGTGATGAATTAAGAGCCTTCATCTGTTGATTTTCTGCATTACCCACCAGTAAAGTCTACACTGTAGGTTTTTTAATAGGAAAGAGAAAAATACATGGTGTTGACAAGCAGTGTGTAGATGGGGGGAAACGGGTGGTCTGTGAATAAGTGGACATGAAAATTACAAACCTAACATTTGGGGTGAATAAATATTGTGTGGGGCGGGGGGTTTGAAAAAAGGTCTTGCTCTAGTAACCCAGGCTGGAGTGCAGTGGCACTGTCACCGCTCACTGAGGCTTTGGCCTCCCAGGCTCAACTGATCCTCCCAACTCAGCCTCCTGAGTAGCTGGGATTACAGGTGTGTACCACCATGCCTGGCTAATTTTTTGTTTGTTTGTTTTTGGTAGAGACGGGATCTCAATATATTGCCCAGGATGGTCTCCAAACTCCTGGGCTCAAGCAATCCTCCCACCTTGGCCTCCCAAAGTCCTGGGACTACAGGTGTGAGCCACCATGCCTGGCCAATAATGCTTTTAAACTTCCAAATTAATAAGTGTTAAGAGAAAAAGAGTGGCAGAAATTGGAACTTCTGTATCACACTAGCAATCATAAAATTACCTTTCCAAAGCAGAACATATTAGACACACCTAATCCATTGCTGCTTAATTTTGGGGTGCTACTTATATTTCCATGCCAGCTGCATTTAGGAAATAGCTTTAGAAAAGTTCTTCAGAATCTGCCATAGGCAAGTAGCTCTGGTTCACCAATAATAATCAACATGCTGCCTCCAAATATACTAAGTTAAAAAATGACTTGAGCCCATTTTTCCATTAAGTTATAATAGAATATGATCCTGGCACTGTTAATCTCCATAAATTCACTGAAGAGAAAACAATTACTTTCAAACAGACTATGAGGAGACTTAATATAGGTATCAATATTCTGATTGTTATTATATGCACATAATGTCTCTAACAAAACTATAATGTGAAAATAAGCCACCAATCCTTAGTGTGTATAGTTGCTGGATTTTTTAAAAGATGAAAATCAAATGTGGGAGGAATCAAGATTGATTATACATGTCAAGGACATCAGTTCTGCTTGAACACTGATTAAGTGATTAATGAAGTACTGCCAGAATTACTAAATCTCTTTGCAGGAAAATGTTATTATACTTCCCTTCATAATTATAAGTTTAGGAGGAGAAAAAGGATTGATTTATTAGAAGAAACTTATAAGCTAATTTCTATCCTTTTTTTTCTAAAATAAAATCCATGGAAGACAGTGGTTCTACTTTCTACTTCTGAGTTCCTTTAGGAGGAGATCATTTCAGATCCACTCTTTAGCCCCATAAGATAATGTGTACTCTTCTAAGGAGTGGGAGGAGAATGTTTCATTGATCAACTGTTAAACCAAAGTTTAGGGTGTTACCTTTATGACTGCGTATGGAACATTCATTCCTTCAACTAGCTTTCATTGGATGCCAGCTACTTCATAGACACTGGGTAAGATGCTAGAGATAGAGAGAAATTATTTGCCTAAATATCTGTCCTTTGAAACTGTGTATATTTGTTCTGGAATCATGGGAATTTGGCTAGCTAATGAAAAGAAGGGAGTTCCATCAATTCCAAAGAAAACTTTATAATTGCATTCAAAATAAGCCCTTAATGGTGGGGCGTGATGGCTCATACCTGTAATCCCAGCACTTTGGGAGTCTAAAGCAGGGGAATCACTTGAGGTCTCTACTAAGAATACAAAAATTAGCTGGGCTTGGCGGTGCGTGCCTGTATTCCCAGCTACTCGGGAAGCTGAGGCACAAGAATCGCTTGAACCCAGGAGGTGGAGGCTGTAGTGAGCCAAGATCATGCCACTGAGCTCCACCCTGGGGGACAGAGTGAGATTGTGTCTCAAAACAAACAAACAAATAAACAACAACAACAAACTGATACAATAAGCTCTTAAAAACAAGTGATAACACTTATAAGTGGGAGGTGAACAATAAGAACACAGGGACACAGGGGGGGAAGAATATACACCGAGGCCTGTGGCAGGGGAAGGGAAAGCGTCAGGATAAAGAGCTAATGCATGTGGGCTTAATACGTAGATGTTGGGATGATAGATGCAGGAAACCACCATGGCACACATTTCCCTATGCAACAAACCTGCACATCCTGCACATGCATCCCGGAACTTAAAATAAAATAAAAAATGATTTTAAAAGATTTTAAAAACTAAGTGATAACAAATAAGAGAAAGAAAATAGGCCGGGTGCGGTGGCTCAAGCCTGTAATCCCAGCACTTTGGAAGGCCGAGACGGGCGGATCACGAGGTCAGGAGATCGAGACCATCCTGGCTAACACGGTGAAACCCCGTCTCTACTAAAAAATACAAAAAACTAGCCGGGCGAAGTGGCGGGTGCCTGTAGTCCCAGCTACTCGGGAGGCTGAGGCAGGAGAATGGTGTGAACCCGAGAGGAGGAGCTTGCAGTGAGCTGAGATCCGGCCACTGCACTCCAGCCTGGGTGACAGAGCAAGA